GGGTAACTTTGCTCTAAGTTCTCGGGGAGCACGTCCTTGAGGCCACCAGCAACCTCCGCTCTTACAATCCTGTAATGCGATGGTGAGATGCTGATCACATTCCGTCCCAGGGAAATACCCAGGGGGCTGGGAGAGGCCTCCCCCTTCTCTTCATGCCCGACAGGAGCCTGTTCCGAGTGGCATCCAGACTCACAGACAGAAGCGGGGAATCCTGGGTCACCGGTGATGAGGAGCTGGCGATTTCAGAGAAGACAGCAGGGCGAGGTCCTTGGAAGTGCTTGGAGGGCATCAGAGAGTGGGAAGACAAGAAAGGAGGAACCACAAGGAGGGGATTCCACGGACATCTGACCAGGGACACTTTCACCACACTGGAAAGAAGGAGCCCACTTATTCTGCTACTACGAAAAGCACCCTGTCTTCTGGGAACACAGGGAACCATCTAGTGGAGGGGCTCGGCTGACCTAAGTCTGTCTGTCTCTCAGCAGCCCAGAGTCCTTCTCGGGAAGGTGATTCAAGTAAGGGTAGTCTTTTCTGAGAGCCAACTCTGCCTATTTTCCCCGAGAGTGAAATGGGCAGGTATCTCTCTGTTCTTGCCTTGAGAGTCCCCGCCTAGCTGGTCAGACAGGGCTATGCACAGGGAATGGATAGCACCAAGACAGCGTCGAAGCAGCTGCCCTGGGGGTGGGGGAGGGTGTAGAGATGGAATGAGCTGCAGCCCCATCCTCTGAGCTGGGGGGGCCTGATGGTGAGAGCTTAGCCTGGCCTAGTGCCCCAGCTCTCTCACGGACAAGCTGTGTGACTTTGAGTCATTACTTCAACTCTCCAGATAGATGCCTGTTTCCTCTCTGTCTTCAAAATGGGGATAAAAATGAGCAATAATGCCTGAGGATTTACACGAGGTGATCTCTTAGCCCAGCACTGGGCAGGTACAAAACCTCAGAGAGAGTGTTGGCTACTATAGGAATGATTATTACCCTGATTCAGAGAAGGGAGAGAGAGAACCTGGGGTAAGTTTCGTGGAACAGGCGGAACGAGGCCCTTAAGAGAAGAGTAAAACTTGCATCCATGGAAAAGATGGCAGGAGTGGGGGAAACTGAGGCAGGAGTTCAGGAGGGGTGGGAGGATGTGGTAGCTGGAGACAAGGAGCCCGCCTGGCTGGAGCACAGAAATGGGGCTGGGGAGATGAAGGTCTTCCAAGAGGAGCTTGAGGGATGAGTCTGGGTAGTTGATGGGGAGTGAACATGGGCCTTGAACCTCTATCTACACAGCGCTTAAGCACCTCAGCAAGGATAAGGTCCCGATGACTTGCTGAAGGGCTCCTTGAAAGTGTCACCTCTCACTTCCTGAGATCACCCAGTCCCTTCTGACGAATTCACAGAGAGCTGCTGTTTTGGAAAGATCATTGTGTGGAGTCTAAAGGAGACTCAAGTTCTTGTCCTAGCTCGGCCTCTAACTGGACTAGTGATGACACCGTCCTACCCTCAGTTCCTGGGACCCACTGTCCTTATCTGTAACATGGGAGTGCGGCAATACCTTGTCTCTCAAGTTCCCGCAGCTTGGTGAACTCTGCAAAACCCACCCAGCCCTAAGCTCGCTGCTCCTGTTTCAAAGGATTTGTGGGGACAAATCTCCAGGTATTTTATTTGCTTGGAGTTCACGGAGAGGTTGCTATGAGCGGATCCTTGCAATCTTGCTTACTTTTTAAATCTGAAAATTAACAAGGCAACCGTTGTTGTTGTCAGTTCTGAATTCCAAGCCTTCTATTTTTTTTTTTTTTTAACCTCTTTGAATGCAAATGGCTCCTGAGGAACCCACAGGCTGCTGTGGGGCTGGGAGGAAGCCTTGTCTTCCAGTAGGTGGATGTGGCTGGATTGCTGGCTCAGCCACTCACCATCCAACCTGATCTGAGTGGGATCCTTCAGCTCCCTGAGCCTCCACTTCCTTGGCCCTGAGATAAGGTTGTGGTTCCTTAGAGGGCAAGGTGAAGGGCACATGGGATGTCATCACCATGATGACCTTCTTTCTCGTCTCACTTTTCATCAAAGTGTTGAACTTGGCCATCTCAACAGTCTTGTCAGCCAAAGCAGTTACTACTGTCTCTGTGTCTCCGTTTCCGGGTTGGGAAACTGAGGCTCAGAAAGGGGAAGTTAATCTGCCAAAGCCACATAGCAGTGGCAAAACTGGGATAAGAAAGCCACAGTTCGTCTCCTTTGGACTACGATGGCGCCCATGTGAACCTGTGCCTCCGCAACCACTGTGAATGGGGACAGAATTTACCATCCTTGTCTCATAGGCCCCGGGTGAGGCCAGGCTTGTCTTCACAGTGGGCTGTTCTGGGATATCTGTGCTGCTGGGAAACGCCTGGAGGGCCCTCCCAGTTGCAGCTCTCCAGCCGGTGTTGGCCGCAAGAGCCCCCCACCGCCACCCCCCCACCCCTGCCGTCAATGACCATGGCGCAGGAAGGCAAGGCAAGGCCCTGTGGCTGTTGACCACAATCACCAGCAGGCCCCCGATTCCAGTAGCTGTCCCGGAAGCTGCAAGCCAGGGCTGTAATTTCCAGGTTGGGCCTGGACCAAGAGCAACCCCACTGCTGAATCAGTCACTCAATCGGTCCTATCTTATTTCTTGGCTTTCTGGCTGGGAGGCTTTGCCTCCAGGAAGTGGCGCACGGGAGCCAGGCTTCTGCCTGGCACACCTGGGGATGCTGGCTGGCTTCCTTCTAGCCTCCTCACTGTCGCTGTCTGGCTCCCCGCAGCTCTCGTGGGGGAGGAACCCAGGCCTCTCACTCCTCACCCCTCACCCCCAGCCTCCCTCATCAATTGCAGACCTTTCTGACTCCACCCTTCTGGCTGAATCATGCATTTCTTCTCCCCAAAGGGCCCCAGCTGGGGTTTCTGCCAGACAATCTGAAAATCCGTGCAGATAAGTGCAGGGGACTTTCCCACAAAAAATGGGAAAATGGCCCAGAAATTAAAGAACTTGCCTCCCTTCTTCATCCTCCCCCATCCCTCTCCATTTTGCAAAATGCCTGAGCTCAGCCAAAGAGGACACGGCTATTAGGAAGGGAAAGCAGGGGACTGTTGCAACTTCCAGGGCCCATTTTGTTCTCAGTTGGGCCAGTGAACTGATCGTCCTTTCCTGAACCCCAGGGCCCTGCAGCAGAGGTTGAGGATGTGGGCTGGTGAAGGGCTGGTATTCATTCTTAAAAGACCTTAGTGTTTGTCCCCTTTATCTCTGCTCATGAGGGCTCTGGTCCATGCAGTCATCTCCAGACAGGACTATCTGCATCGCTGCTGGTCTTGTCTCATTCCCACAGGAAGCCAGAGTCCCCTTTCTGAAATGTAAATATGTTACAACTCCTCTGGGTCCCCCTCTTTAAAACCAGTCAATGGCTCCTTACTGCTTTGGGGGAATTGCCATTTTCACACTCCAAAGCCTTCTCTGGTCTTCCCACCTACCCTCTGGTTTTTCACTTTTGCTATTGCCCAGGCCACAGCAGCCGTCATTCAATTCCCTGGGGCCACACACCCTCCCACCGCAGGACCTTTGTGTATGCTGTTCTGGAGTGCTGTTCTTTGTCTGTTACCTGACAACTCTTGCTTATCCTCATACCTCAGTCCCTGCGTCTCCAAGCCCAGCTTGATCCCAGTCAGAGTACCCCCTCATAGCTCTGCTGACTTCCCCATCACAGCAGAGTCATGGTGCATGGTACGTTTGTCTTTGTGGCTATTTGGTTAATGTCTGTCTCCTCCATGAGAGTGGGGAGCTTGTCTGATTTCACTCACCCCTGTATCCTCCTCAGCGCCTAGTACCCTGCTTGGCACAGGGCAAGTGTCCACAGTATTTGTAGAGTGGGGAAAGCAACAGCTGAATTTTCCTGGTGCCAAACTCCTATGGCCCAGGAGCTCTGGGTGGAGGTCTCAAAAGATTCAGAGAAACTTATGATCGATTTGAGGCCTCTGGATGGTTCAGTCCATTTGTAAACATGGGAAAGACACAGATGTGTGTTCTCAGAAAGTATGTGTGTGTGTGTGTGCACATGCCTGTGTTTAAATTCAATGTAGTTACGTGCAGATATAATCCCATGGCCCAAACTGCTGTCAGCACAGAAGTCCCTCCTACCTTTGAAGCCCATGCTGTCCTTCATAAGACAAGTCCTCAAATACTAACAACAGTTTCCTTTAAAAATTATCCCTTAGCCTATCCTGGTCTTCAGCTTTGTCAACAACCTCACGTTCCTGGCTATGTGTCTGTCTTTCCTTTCAGATTTCATATATGCCCTTTCCCAGCTGTGGCTCTGTCTGAGGCCGCCATATTGGGTTTATCAACCAACACCCCCAATCTCTTTTGTGTCAGATCTTATCTGACTGTGCTCAGCTGAATTTTCATTTGCTAAAATAAACTCTACGATATAGTCTCTCATATCTTGTGAGATGTGAGAGCCAATTGCCTCTAAGTTGTCCCAGAAGATTGTGAAAAATGCAGATTCTGGGCTTCATCCCAGACCTACTAAAACCAAGCCCCAGAGTAAAGGGTTCAGGAATAACATTTTAAGCAAACTTCTCTGGAATTAGGATGCACAGTTAAAATTACAAACCACAGCTCTGAGGAAAATGGACAACCAGCTAGTAGAAGTGGGACCCCTTGCACATTCTAATGCTCTTACTCCCCAAGTGGATTTATCTAAAAAAGGGTGGAATTCTCAATAGGGTTTGTGCTGGGGAGGACAGAAGTGTTTTTTTGTTGTTGTTGTTCTTTGACAAGAGAATGCTGTTAGCATGTAAGAGAACGTTCCTTTCCTTGGGCTTTAGTAATATAATTTCTGGAGCTACTAGGGTTTCCAAAAATGCCTCAGAAACTGATGAACTGAGCTAGCTCCAAATTCACTGGCCAGTTGCTCAAACGTACTATGCATTTCTTTGTGTTCAATAGTATTTATTGAGTACCTACTTGTGCCTGACACTGGGAATACTTTGGTGAATAAAACAGACCAACACCCTGTCCTCATAAACTTACTTTCTCATGGGAAAGGAATAAGCTCACAGGAACACAGAAGAAAGGAGACAGCAGCAGCTGGTGAGTGATGTTCTCTCTCTTTTGAAGGGACAATATGCAGCGAGATGTGGGCTGGAGACATAACAGATAAAGGTGACCCATGATGGGGTCATAAATGTGATGCCCAAGGGTTGAGGATAGATGGAGGATATGGGGACTCTGAAGATGTTTAGGGACAGTGTCAAGATCAGATGGATCTTGGGTCAGACTAGAGGGGGCCAGGACTCATGCAGTAGACCGACAGCCTATAGACAGATAGTAGCTATAGATTGGGTATATGGGAACAAGAGGGAAGTGAATATCAAGGTGAGGAAATATGAGTCTGACAATTTGGAAAGTGAGCTATAATGCTGGGTATACAGAGAGTTGCAGTTTCAATGTGGGTCCAGGCAACCTAGACAGGGCTGGGAAGCCTCTGAGCAGAAAATTTGGAGGTTTGGCTCATCCCTATGTGATTCCACGTCTCTGAACATGGGGCATTGGCCCTTCTCCTGACAAATGGGACATGACAGAGTGGAGGGCCTGGCTCCAGTGCTCCCCAGAGACACAAGTGAACCTTGTGTACTGAGCACCTGACCAGGGCAAGGGATATAATGTGCAGACTCACATATATGCGTGTACACACACACATGCATGTACACACTCACACACATGCACATGGTCACCCTCCTTCCTTTGTTACACTAAGATTGTTCAGTGTTGGGTGGGGGTGAGGTCTATGCTACAAAGGCTGTGGGGGCGGGGGGCGTTGGTTGTGGCATCCGAAGCATAGCGGTTAAAAGAGGGGAGAAGATGGGCTGCTTTCTGCCGTCTGAGCCAAAGATCTGCGACAGTCTTGTGCCACTGGTTCAGCTCTTCACGTCTCCCAGTCCGCAACTGAACTTTTCAGAGTGAGGTAGTAATAATAGTATCAACGAAGGCAAGAGCTCTTCAAATAACACCCAGTTGGCGTTGGTCCTCCTGCAGAATGGAAAACACATTTTTGAGGTCAGATTTTTTATAGTCGGGAAGTCATTTTAACCAAAGCAACTAGCCTAGGGCTGTGTCATTTTGACAATATAGTTTCATGTTCATTATATTTTCTTAGTGTCATCTTTCCCTCCATCCTTCGATAAATATTTATCTTGTAGCGCTATGTCCCGGGAACTGTCCTAGATGTTCAGAGGGAAAGAGGATGGGCCCGGGCCCTCTTGGAGCTTCTGCTCTAATGTAAGATCAGGCCTGGCCAGCACGGAGGTTTTGCAGGGACCAAAAGGGCTGGGAGCCCATAGTGAACTTTCTGGATGTGTAGCCTTTCCTCCACTCATGCGTAAGAGGCTGCTGGGCTGTTACCACCGTCACCCAGAGAGAATGAAGTCATGAGTGTGCAGAGAGCTGAGTCCCGCACTATCTGTTCCCAAAGACCAGATGCTGCTACTTCCTGCACCCTCCTTCTCCCCTTAGGAGACTTCTCCCTGCTTCCTGCACTGGGATTCCCGGTACTCCACAGGATAGACGGGAGGGAGCTCCACTTTGGGGTGTGGCCAACTTCCTGGGGAGACATTGATGTAATCCCACGGGTCTGGGTCTGCATGTAAGGCAGCGCTCACGCCCTAGCTCCACTTCCTGTCCCCCGCTCCTTCAGCACCTGCCTTCCAGTCTTCCCAGCCTGGGAACTCTGGTCAGCCAACTCCATTCATTGCTGCCTCCAGCTGTGTGCTGAGCAGCGCGCTGGGCACTGGGGACACAGAAACAGAGGAACCAACATACCCAGTATGTGTTGAACAGACACATGGTCGCTTGATGGAGTTAGAGCAGGGGCCCTAGAAGGCTGGAGCTGGGGACACCAAACCCTGCAGGGGATGTGCTCAGACTTAAACTGATTCCATCTTCTCCTTAGGAGAGGTCCCCAGTACAGGCCCACCACAGTATCCCAGAGCCTAGTACAGAGCCTGGTGCATAGTAGCTCCTCGCTTAATTTTTGTTGAATAAATAACCAACTATAGCCAAGCACTAAACATGGGGGGGAGGTCTTGCCTCTCTAGTGCCCTAGCTTATGTGGTCAAGCTGTAGTTTCCCCTCCTCTTCCACTGCTTCAGGGCTGGAGGATCACGTTATTAGTGACTGCTGATTGGCAGAGCGGATTACTCTCAAGGCGGGTGGACAGTGGAGCTAAAGCAGATGAAGCTTCAGGGCCCCCACTGGGCACTTCCAAGGCTAGGTGTTCTTTGCTAGGGGTGCAGGTTGTCTGTAAGCCTGTGTCAGCTCCACCCCCCAGCCTTAGAGCTCCCCTGAGAGGTGCCATTGGGAGTGTGAACCCTGTTTTGAAAGCCCATGGAGTACAAGCTGCAGACTTTACCACTACCCTGCTCCGTGGATACCTGCCCAGCAGGTACAGGTGATGCTGATGAATGGTCTGAGCTGGACCAGGTGCCCACGCATGAGCCCTAGACATAAAGCACCAGGTAAGCAAGAAATTTCAGGGAAAGAGGAGCAAGAAACGTAAGGGGAAGTTTTATGTGTGATATTATGGTAAAAAGCTTCAAAGCCGACTTTTCCAAACGATCAACAGCACAGAACGCATTTTGATAACCTATGTCAGAGGGAGAACTGAATTATTTCTTTCCTCTCTTTAGAAAAGGATTTTATAGAATCCTTTTTACGTAAGGAGGTAATCAAAGAGGGTGCAGTCAGAAATGTTAAAATATCCCCATCCTTGGAAAAAAGTATCCCCATCCTTGAGGAGTGGAAGGTTGCCAATTATTAGCAGTAATGAAAATGTTATGGTATTCTTCCGGATCTGGTGATGTCTATGTTATTTGCCATATTTTTAAATTTCTCATTTGTGATTTCTAATTCGGAAAAAAATCACTTTTATGCCTGATTTTATATTTGTATTTCATGTGTTTTTTTCTTGGAGGGCCTCCCACAGCCCAAATTGTGTAAGATTCAGGATCTGCACAACGTGGATATGTCTGTATGGTTCTTGACATATGTTCATTATCATTGCTGTAGTCATTGTCTGTTCTTTAAACGTAGGTGTTTAATAAACACCCTTGAACCTACCACCCAATACCAGGAAATAGAGGACTGGTGAATTATTTCTCCCATCCCATTTTTCTGCCTCCCCCTGCTGAGACAATCAGTGTTCTGAAATTTGTATTCATGGTTTTCTTACTTTAAAAATGTATTTACCCAATATGTGTGTTTAGCTTTAGTGTGGCTTTTTTTTTAAAGCTCTATTAAAGTGCTGTTTGTGTATTTGTGTTTGTGTTTGTGGATTGAAGAGTTGATAGAGTAAAGAGGTCAGTTCTCCCCAAATTAATATAGAGTTTTAATGCGATTCCTACCAAAAGCTCAGGTAGGTACTTTGTAGATGTAGACAAAATGACTATAAAATTCATATAGAAAGACAAAAGAACTAGAAAAGCTTAAATAATTTTTAAAAGAAAAATAAGGGGCACCTGGGTGACTCAGTCCTCTAAGCGTCCAACTCTTGATCTCAGCTCAGGTCTTGATCTCAGGGTCATGAGTTCAAGCCCCATATTGGGCTCCACGCTGAGTATGGAGCCTACTTAAAAAAAGAAGAAGAAGAAGAAGGAGGAGGAGGAGGAGGAGGAGGAGAAAGAAGGGAAAATAAATTGGGAGAAATCAGTCTATATAATGTCAAGACTTACTAAATAGCCACAGCAATCAGGATCTTGTAGTATTGGTACAGGGTTATACACTTAGATCAATAAAACAGATAGGGGGTGCCTGGGTGGCTCAGTGGGTTAAAGCTTCTGCCTTCAGCTTAGGTCATGATCCCAGGGTCCTGGGATCGAGCCCCACATTGGGCTCACTGCTCAGCAGGGAGCCTGTTTCCCCCGCCCCCCGCCTGCCTCTCTGCATACTTGTGGTCTCTCTCTGTCAAATAAATAAATAAAATCTTTAAAAAAAAACCCAGAAAGCTCAGAAATAGACCCACGCAATGTATCTAACCTGTTTTTCACAAAGGTGCAAAAGCAATTCAATAGAAAAAAGTGGCTTTTTCAACAAACGGCGCTGGTATAATTGTACAACCATAGGCAGAAAAATGAACCTGATCCAAATCTCACACCTTGTACAAAATTAATCCAAAATGAATGAGAGACTTTAATATAAAGCACAAAACTATAAAACTTTCAGAAAAAAACAGAGAGGAAAAATCTTTGTGATGTAAGGCTAGACAGAGTTCTTAGACGTGACACCAAGGGAACAAGCCATAAAAGGAAAAATTTGTAAGTTGGGCCTCATCAAAATTAAAAATTTTTATTCTGAAAAATACCTTGTTACACCCTGTGGATAGAAAACAAGCTACACACAGAAGGAAAATATTTGCAAACCCCGTAACTGACAAAGGGCTAGTATTTAGAATATCTAATGGGTTCCCAAAACTCAACAGTAAAAAATTCAAACAATCCAATTGGGAAAAGGGTGAGAGATGTGCCCAGACACTTCACCGGAAGGATATGCTGGTGATAAATAAGCATGCAAAGAGATGTTCATCATGATTAGCCATTAAGGGAAAGCAAATTGAAATTTATGATGAGATGTCACGGGGCTCAGGATGGCTTAATTAAAAAATAGTGTCAGTGCTCAGAGACTAGGTGACTCTCATTGCTGGTGGGGATGGAGGAAGGTACAGCTACTGGGGAAAGCAGTTTGGCAATTTCTTTAAAGACCAAACATGCAACTACCATAGGACCCAGCAATCACACCTCCTGGCCAGAGAAATGAAGACTTTCATGTTTCCATAGAAACCTGCACATGAACCTAAAGAAAAGTTTTATTTGTAATAGCCCAAACCTGGAACCAGCAGAGCCGCCCTTTGACAGGTGAATGGTTAAGCAAACGGTGCTACGTCCATACCCTGGCGTGCTACCCAGCAATAAAAGGAAATGAGCTACTGATGTGAACAGACACTGTACGTAATGTCCAGAAATCGAGCTGAGTGAGAAAAGCCAATCCCCAAAGGTTATTTGCTGTAAGATTGCTAAGATTGCATTTCTATGACATTCTTTAAGTGACAAAATTATGGAAAGAGAGAACTTGCGGCTCTCCGGTGGTTGCCAGAGTTAAGGAGGAGATGGGGGCAGGAAAGAGGAGTATGTGGCTGTCAAGGGCACCCTGGGAGATCCTTGTGGGAATAATCTGTCTTTAGATTGTATCGATGTCAGTATCCTGGTTGTGATACTGTATCAATGTCAGTATCCCGCTTGTGATACTGTCGAATGGTTTTAGAAGGTGTTACGTGGGGGAAACTGGGTACACTGGTTCTCACAATAGCAAATGAATCTGCAATTAGTCTACATGTCTTGCGGTTTTCTGGGGCCGGGGGAAAAGAAATTATCGGTCAAAGTAATGAAAAAAACTAAAGGTGCCCTATAGATTTCACAGTTGCCATAGCTGATGATGTTGACCGTGACAATGCCTCCGGTACTTGCTAAATACTGTGGATCACAAAGGCTCTGGTGTAAAGGAACCAACCCTTGGCATCAAGACAAAAGACCTGGATTCAAATCTCAACTTTATCACTTACTAAGCCCTTGACTTCTGGCAGATCATTTGTGGCTGAGTCCTTTACTCTGCCCTGATCCTCCCCTCACTCCCTGTGCTTCAGATAGGGCTAACCCGTCCTTGCTGGCCAGAAGTGGGCACATAGCTGAGGTCTGGTGGTTCAAAGACTCATCACCAGAGCCAAAACGATTGCTCGTGGTGTCAGGCTGTGACCAAGGCAGGACCTATCAGAGTCTTCCTTACACCTTCTTTTTCTTTCTTTTTTTTTCCCTAAGAGCTATGAAAAAGGGTACTTTCTTTCCTCTGGGACCATGACTCTAAGAATGACACAGGAAGTGCACATGGGAGAAGCAATAACCTGATATTGTTAGAGTTCCTAGATCCAGCCAGACCTGAAGCCAGATGCAATAAATATCCTTTTTTACTTATGCTAATTGGAATGAGGTTTCTATCACTGGCACTTGAAAAAGGACCATGATTGTCATTTCATTTAGCTATTTGGAGCCTGTTTTATTATCTATGTATAGATAAATATATTTATTTATCTATTATACAAGTAGATGTAATAATAATAATAAAATCTCACCAATGTACTTAAAGAGATCATGTACATAAGTCTTTGTCCCTCTTCTCCATCCTTAACCAATTGATTAATTGGATAGAGTCCTAGAGAAATTTAAAACAGAATACACTAAAAGGTCATAATTAAAGGGGCCTTAGAGGTCATCCAGAACAACCATTTCAAACTTGAATTTTTTTTAGCCCTCCCTTTTAATTTCGTAGGTCTTGTTTGTTTGTTTGTTTTACAATGAGCATGATATAACCACTTTTTATTTATTTATTTTTTTAGCACATGGTCTGGTTGGGAGGATAAAATGGCGTGGTACGTATCAAAGCATTTTGCACAAAATGGAAGAAAATTGTTATTATCTTATAAGGATCTTGTGGCCTGGCAACAGAGATAAGGAATACTCCAAGCATCTTCTAGGCAGAGGTTCTGAGAACACAGTGTGCACGAGAATAACCCGAGGAGTAGGGTGTGCCGATCTCTTCCTCCTTACGAACCCCGGGTCATTCTGGTGTCCTGGTGTGAGAATCTTTGTGCCAGTGACTAGAGAAGAGGATGAGAGCATGATGAAAGGGAACATTTAAGTGCTTGCTGCTGATCACCAGAGAAGGGGTCTGTAAGAAAGTGCAGAAGATAGAGCTCATCTGAAGCCAGGATGGGCTCCTGGAAGCGGGGCTTCTCCAAACCAAAGAGTCAGTGCCATGGGCGGGTGAAGAGTGAACTCCCATGGAGAACTGGTAAGGCATTGGACCAGGGGAAGAGACAAAGTCGGCTCAGTTGCAGGTCGAAACTTGGTCCCAGGGGGGCTCTGAAGTGTGAATTACACCTCCGTCTTCCCGCACAACCAGTCATTGGCTGTGGGGCCGGAGGGTGGGGATCCACTTGGCCCCTTCCAGCTGCTCCTGTGGGGAGGCTGTTCCAGGGTCCAAGAGCAACTCACTGAAGGTCATGGGTGCCAGCCAATAGCAGGGAGAAGCTGGAGAATCTGGGAGACTTGCTGTGGCCATCACTGAGGTCTGGAACAGCACCGTGAGCACCTTGATGCTGGATGCAGGACCTAGGAAGGAGGAGAAGGAGGACATGTCAGAATCCTGCACTGAAAGCACCACAGGATGGATTCAGTGTGGCCAGAGCTGCCACTCTTGGTTCTTATTTCTTGAAGAATCCAGAGCATTTGGGAATGTGACCCACCTTCCCTCCACCCCTCCTTCTCAGCCCCCCAACAAACTTTAAAATGAATTATTTTTAGCTGTGCTCATTTGCTGTCTGTGTCTCCAGACAGGATTGCATAAGAAGGGGCTGTTTTCTTCCCCGTGGGATGACAAGGGGATGGTTAAATTGCAGACGGATGGTAAAGCCATTTACACGTGGAGAAGCAGCCGGTGTGGCTTAAAGGCTTGGCAGGTCCCAAGCCTCTCGGCACATAAAGGGAAACCTGACGAATGCCAGGGAGGCAAGGTGACTTCATACAGACACTGATTGACTGCAGAGAAGACTACGCATGCCCTCCCACTTGCCCCTGCCTTTTTGGGATTTTGGAATCAGAACATATTACAACTGGAGCCTTTGCAAGGAGATCCTCTGGCCTGAACTGGTCATTATAAAGATGAGAAAGCTGAGGCCTCGAAGTGGGGAAGAGAAAGGGACTCATATCTAAACAGAGCCATGACTTGGCCCAGGCGCCATGTTGGACACTTTTCCAGATTGTTCCATTTTAGCTCCACAGTGGCACTGTGGGGTAGAATTATGAGCACCATACAAGGATACAAGCTCAGGGAGGTAACAGAGATTTTCCCAAACCTTATAGCTTTGCAGGGAGCTGAAATTTGAACCCAGGCCCACCTCTGTTTTTCTTAATCTTCAGGGTAAGTTGGAGAATGATTTTCTAGCCAGCCACAAAAGAACCTGTGTCTGCAGCTTCTAACTCAAGTGCCACAGGGCAGGGTACCATGCCTTCTCTTTACTTCCATATCCCACTACCTAGAACAGGGCCTGTAGGTGCTCAGTAAACATCCATTGGATGAGTGAGTTGAAGCGAGAAAGACTTTAATGCACGCCTTCTTCATAGAGCTACCTGCTTCCTGAAAGGAAATAGCACCATCCCTTGGGGTGCTCATGCTAGAGTTGATAGGATGAGATGTATACATGGAAAATGCTGGAAAGGGGGTCTAGGTGACAGAGACACATAGGAGCTAGTGTTGTGCAGATGGGGCTGGGTTCAGGGCAGCTTTGGGGGAAGGCGTGTGTATTTCACCACTGCCCTACCGCCTCCAGCCCCACCTGTGCTCTGGCCACGAGGAGCTAGTCCTCATGCTTTCCCAACCAGGGACTTGGTCTGAAATAGGCTCCTTCAGTGTCCACAGTCCCACCAGCTGTCACGGATCAGTCTGAGTACCATCTCCTACAGGACGCCCCTGCTGATCCCTTTGGCTGTGCAACATACACTGCTTTGAATTACGGTCCAGGGGGCGCATGGGTGGCTCAGTCAGTTAAGCATCCGACTGTCGGTTTCAGCTCAGGTCATGATCTCAGGGTGGTGGGAGGGACCCGGCATGGGGCTCCACGCTCAGTATGGAGCCTGCTTGAGATTCTGTCTCCTTCCCTCTACCCCTCCTCCTACTTGCACATGCACTTGTGCTCTCTAAGTAAATAAATAAATAAGTAATATTTTTAAAAAACAAAGCTTTGAATTAAGGTAGAGGTAGGAAACCTCTATTTACTGCCCCCTCCGCAGCTTGCCGCTATCCCCACCAGCTAAATAAAGCCATTGAAGCCAATTTCAACTCACGTATGGAGCAAGTAGCAACAAGTGAGGTCCCTATTTGGTACCTACAGTTACAAAAAGGCATCTGACTATAAACACTGTTGGTATAAGAGCCTAGAGAGGTGGTTTTCAAACTGTGTTCTGAGTCACCCCCAGGGTTCCATAAACAACTTGTTTTCTATCTCTCATTGGTTTTATTTCTCTCATTCAATTTCTTTGAATGAGTCTCCCAATAAGAAGTTTATAGTTCTGTTAGATGGAAACATCACACCCTGGGCCCTACCTGCCTGTCTCTGTCTGGCTATCTGAGTTCCTCTGTCACCAAGTGTGCCTGAACCCGCAGAGCATACAGTAATCTGCCTCAAAGCCCACACTTCCAGATCGTAGGCTCCTGGAGGACAGGCACTGTGCCTTACTCATTTTGCATTCCCCCAGCACCCGACACAGGGCCTGCACCCAGAAGGTGGTGGTTAAGTGTTTCTTCTTTAGTTCTTCACTCAAGAGGGGGAAAAAATGGATAGATTCAATGATTGGAAGTCTTGGAGCATTTGGTAAAATTATTGATGAACCTTGGCTGGAACACTATGGAGAAATGGCTATGGGAATATGGGAAAACCAAGTAAACGGTGGGGGGAGCGGTCAGGAAGAAAGTCATTATTAAATTAATCCTGCCCCTGGCTGAGCTCTGCCCCCACATCCTGCCACGTGAGTTCATGTGTGGGTGGACAAGCAGCCTTCATGTCCGTGTTCCATCTGCAGCCCTCCAGAAAATATCCAGCTCTTGGCCGCCCCCAGGGGCTAGGGGCGTGTGTGCAGCAGTGTGGACCCTCTTTGAAGAGAGAGCTCCGGAGAAGACTCCCTGAAAATGGGCATGGTGCCATTGAACCAGAGAATGTGGCACTCCCAGGAATCCAAAACACGGTCTAGAGGCAGGCAGTCAGAGGGAAGCCAACTTGAAGCCCAGAGCAGGCACCCCCAGGCCCGGGGCTCAGGGTTGAACTCCAGGGGAAACAGCTAGATGCCAAAGGAAGTAAACGCAGTCACTACCTCACCCATCAGGAACAACTTCTACAGAGGGGTCATACTGGGAACACTGCCTACGGATTTGACTAAAAAACCGTGCTTTTGAAAATACAGGATCAAGGAAGTGGGAGAGTCACAGGTGAAAGGGTTAAATCCCCAGCTCCCTCGATAGTAAGCCAAGAGATTCTGTCAAAAACAAACAAGAAATCAAGAAGTTGTATGATAAGCCCATGTCTATATCCCTTTAAAAATCTGACGGTCAAAACCTGAAGAGCTGTAAGGATGAAAAGCTGGTGCCCAAGGGAGAGCAGCCCAGGGTAGGGGCAGAGGGCCGCTGTGTTTGGGGTCTTGTGCTACTTTATATGTGTGTGTGTGGGGGGGTACCTTAATTAAATAAACACTGAAAAATTAAAGGAGGGGCTTTGGTAGTCCTGGGGAGGTGGGACACACATGATGAGACTCAAAGCAGAGAGGCTAGGGGAGGCCAGGCCGGGGAGAAGGGGTGCAGGACAGAGCCCGTGGGGGAAGCTTTCCAGGGGAGGGGCACCAAGGCAGGGCCCGAGTAAGGAGCTGCAGGTCTGGGTCCCCAGAAGACACAGTGTTGGGGATCAAGGGGTCAGCTGAGGACAGAAACAGCATGGGGCAGGCGAGGCAGGCGTCCCGGGCTGGCCTGGGAGTAAGGCATCGGGTGTGGAAGAATTCAGCCTTGCCCTGGCTGCGGCTGCTGCGGTGGCCCGCGAGCCCCTCCGTCACCCCCCTGGTTGTCCAGCCGGCATCTTCACGACAGCTTGGGAGGGGGCCCGGTGTTCCTACGGCCGGGGGGTGGGGTGGTGGTGGGGGACAAAGAATCCGGGGAATGGAGAAGGAAAATGATGAAATCGAATCTGGCCCTGAAATAAAAATAGCCAATAGTTGAGATTTTTAAGAAAAAGGAAAAACAAAAACAGCATTTGGTACATGAGTCACCCCAACTTCTCCCAATTACCAGCTTTTAGCTTCCAAAGAAAGCTTCCGACAGAGGATCCTCGGAATGTGGGTGGTGGTGAGGATGCGGAGATCTGACCCCTCCTGCCAACCTCACGTTTGGCTCTTTGCAGTGGAAGCCGTCAGCCTGCCTGTCTGGAGCTGAATGTCTCCCCTGGCTTCTGGGTGCCAGAGAAAGACCGGTGGCCTGGGAGCCAGGGGCCTGGTGCAACTCGTGTCCCTCTCGAGGCCTCAGTTTCCCCCCTGCCAGCGAGGAGGCTGGGCTGAATGGCGTGAAGGCCTGTCTGGTTTCCACGCCACCTGCCGTGCTCCAGGTGAGGCGGGAGCCGCAGGGCTCACCGTGGCTGTACCCCTGGTGCTCAGACCATGCCAGTATATTTCAGGGGCGTATCGTCTCGTCCACGGACTGTGAGACAACCCCGATCCCTGGCAGGGGGCTCCCACGCGGAAGACGGGGTGCAACTTTGGGGGAAAACCCATCCCTGCTCTGAGGCTGGAGGAGGAAGAGAGTGCTATGTGTGGGCCCACCTGGGCTGGCCAGGGAGACTTCTTGATGTGGTTTCAAGTTCGGAGAGTTGGATGGCAGACTGCACTCTCAGGCTGGTTCAGGAAAGGGAGCCAGGGGCAGAGCGGTGGACCAGATGACTTCCACGGAACTCCCTGCCCCGTGCCTGACTTCCGGGCAAGCTCAGCGGTCCCCTTTCTTCCCCTTCTGGATCTGTATCCCTTGCAGCATCAGCACATGCTTCTCCTCTATGAAGCAGGGGCTTCCTCATTTCCAAGAGTGATATATGCATGCTTGGGGGGCTGGTGGGAAGAGAGAAACCAAGTAGTGCGGGGAGGGGGTGGCTCTCATTTCCGTCTGCTGGGCTGAGTGCTAGAGGAGGGGTGGCGATGTTCTAGACCCTTGGTCAGTCTGGTGGCTGCGAATCACACTGGGTGAGAGGCTCTCGCTGAGCTCCATTTACCTGATATGCTGTGTTTACCTGGACGAAGACCTCATGACCCGGGGCCTGCAGCATGCTATCTTACAGAGCCCTATGTGCTGCTTCTGGCCTTTGCTGATGAGACACTCCTCTCGCCCACAGCCCCTGCCTCTAACTAGAGCTGTGATCTTGGGTTCAGGGAACAGACAGCCCCTCACAGGGTTTCATGAGCAGAGCTTGCGGAAGGGGCAACTTCTGGAGATGTGTGCAGGGGGAGGGGAGCTCACGGAGGATGGGGCAGCTGCAGGGGCTCCTGCCGAGGGCTTGTTCTGCTGGAGATGAGGCTCTCAGGGCTCAGAGCAGCAGAGAGAAAGGTGGAGGGGGGATCTGGAGGGCAAAGGCTAGCACAGGGGACAGTTCCGGGCCTCAGCTCCCTCGTTTGTAAAATGGTGGTGATAACATCTGTGCCATAGGGCTGTTGTCAGGATTCAATGAATCAGTCAGTGTCTGGCTCTTGATCTGTGGCTTAGAACAGGGCCTGGCACAGAGTACATGATGTGAAGTGTTTGCTGTTAGCCTTGTCCGTACCACACTCCTACCAAATGGATTCCCGTCCTCTAGGCACCCAAATTTCCTTTCCCCCTTTCACCCAAATCTGTCACCCCATAGTACCCACACTAGGGGGTACACAGCTGGTAGACCTGTGCACTTACCTCGGTCTGGGAGCATTTGCCTGTTAATAGAACACACTGCCTTTGCCTGCGTATAAGGCTCTAACTCAGAACCCCCGGTCTTCTGTAGCTGATGTGATCGCCAGTGAGTGACCGCCTCGTCCATCCTACGCTGAATAATAACAACCAGCAGGGAGATAGAGAAAGGAGATTGGGTGAAGGCAGAGTTCCTGCGGCCCCTGCCCAGGGACTGAGCTAGGAGCATCTGACAGGAGGAGGAGGTCAAGGGTCCACTGGTTGGACCCTTGCCAGCTCCCGGAAAGCCAGCCTGGACCCCGAGCTGGCAGAGTCCTCTGAATGAGGCCCTTGCCTTCAAAGCTGGGGAGAGCACCTGCAGTGGCCAGAGAGAGAGGGGCCCAGAGAGCAGGGACCTAGCCTTGTCACCTAGGAAACCGATGGTGAGGCCAGAATTTAAGCCAAGAGTCCTGATCCCAAGGCCAAGGTCCTTCCTTCACCCTGCACCATCCACTCTCAAAGTACACACCCTTGAGTGGACAGAGACGTCCCTGGGCAGCCGCCTGAACTCATCAGTTGGCCCGGAGCTCGGCCTTTCAGCCAGAGGGGAATGTGTGACCCAGGAGAGGCTCCAAGTGTGACTCAGGCTGAGAGTGTGGACTCTTCGGGGTACTGAAACCTTTCCTATTCTTAGTGCCATCCGTGGTGGGGACCCTCTGGCCTGGGCATGTGGCCTTGGTAATGACTCCCGGCTCCCACCTACAGAGATGCCCTCCAAATGGGGCCACTGAGGATCTCAGAACACTCCCTCCCCTCCCTCTGAGCCCTGGGTCACATGCTCTGGGACAGCGTGAGCTGAGTGTTTATACAGTGTTTGCTCACAATAGCAACAAGCCCCTTCTTCCTTCTGCAGCCCTTTGATCATAAAATGCCGTCACACTAGGAGGGGCTATAAAGTAGCTTGGCAGCAGAAAGCATCCAGACAACAAGCCTGGGCTCCTGAAAGCTCTGGAAAACAAGCTCAGACTCAAGAAAGCATCCCAAAAGCACCACACTCAGGCTCAAGCATGTGCACAGCCCTAGGCCTTGCCCCTTGGGGACAGTGTCCATCCTCCTCTGCCACATCACAACTCCCAACCCAGCCTCACTCACACCCAGGGGGCCCCACTTCCAAGGCTGAGAAGCGGAGGCCAAGGAGGCACCGAGGATCTTGGCGATAAGGTGAAATCTCACAACATTAACTTCGAAAGCTCCTTAGTTTTGTGTGAATATGAGTTTTCTTGCAGTCTCGGTTTTCAGCAGATTCTCAAAGTCGGGATAGACTGTGCAATGCTGCAATAACAAAGAATCACAAGATCTCAATGGCTGGTGGCAACACTGCATTTTCAAAGAGCCTTGTTAGAGTCTATCTCCTGTTACTATTCTCCTTCCCTAACACCCAGCTGCCCATCTATGTGAAGACAAATGGAACAACAAAAGAGAAACTCAAGCACACCGTTTTATCAGCTTATCCTCTGTGCGGTGGGCACAGAAAGAACCAGGTGTCTTCAGAAATGCTGTCTCATTTGATCTTGTGAAGCACAGGAGGAAACTGAGGCCCATAGCCACCCAGGTGGTTGTGTAGCCAGAAGCTGGGCTGGGGTTTAAACCCAAGCAGACTCCGGTAGCTACAGTGACCAAAGCCAACCCCACGCAACCCTCCCACCCACGATGCCACTAGTCCCGGGGTCTGTATTGGGCTCCCAAGTTTATACAACATTTTCATTCATTTGGCGACTATTTCTGGGCACCTCCTATGGGCCGGGGACCATTCTATGTGTTAGGGTTCGAGCAGTGAATAAAATCAACGCAGGGCACAGGCAAGGGAAGGGAATGGATTGGGGATGGTAAAGAGAGGGTAACTGGATCCAAGGCTGATCTGGAGACAAACCTCGTGACAGAACAGCACCCGGGGATGCAGGCTCCATACCCACGAGCCAGAGCTATCCTCGAGATTTCCATAGCAAACCAAGCCACTGCATCCCCAGAGTGGGGGATATGGCTGCCCAGAAAGAATTCTAGGGATTGTCCTTACGCTGCTGAGCCTCAGCTAATTGTTTGTTTTTTTTTTTTTTTCAGCTATGGAAACACATTCATCATTTTGTCTCCAGCAGCCTGGAATCTGCTTTAGAGAAAACGCTCCCCAAATGGTTATTGAATGAATGAGTGATGACCCCCCGCAGTGGGTAAAGCCCTTCCCATTCTCTGGGCCTCAGGCTCCTCATCAGTTCACAGAGATGTTGTCTAAGGGCCCCTGAGTGCTGGCATTTGGTGACTGATGTGACAGTACCATGTCTGGGTGGAGGGAAGGCCTGCTCACCCCAACGGGGCCTTTGCGTCAGTCCCCTTTGCTGGCTGCCAGGCGATATCGCCCAGAGACAACTGCTCCCACAACTGCGTGGGGATGAGCCTCTGCGGCGTCGCCGTGGCGTCCCCATGGCATCGCTGTGGCATGGTTGAGGGAGGCTAGGGGAGCCGGACTTGGGGCTCTGCAGCCAGGGCTCACAGTCAGACGGGTGTGACTCTAGAAGCAGAGACAGGAAATGTCTTTCCCCAAATACCTCTTCTGCTAGTGCCTGAAATTCCACCATTTGTGATTTATTCCATTGGGGTCAGCACTGTGTTGTTTTGTTTTGGTTTGGTTTTGGTGAGCCCTCTTTATAAGTGCTAAAAACTTCAGCAGAGGGATAGAGCTTTTACACAAAATTCCATGCTTGATTGCCTTTTATGTGCCAGTGCCTGTAGGGGAGAGGGGACGGTGGGGGCCAGATCCAAAAGTGATAATGAAGACAATACACTTACCATTTATTGATTACTATTTATTGAGCATTTACTATGCGATGCGCTCTGCATATATGGCTCATTTAAGCCCCAACTACTACAATCCTGTAATACCAATTTTGGGCCTCATTTTAAAGATCAGGAGACTGAGTCACGGAGAAGCTAAGACATTTGTCTAATGTAACATCACTGAGTCAGTCCTTCCGGTTTAACTGCTACACTACAAACCTGTTGGTTGTGGGCGGTTATAGGTAATGGGAAAAAGATCTGGAAGTTGAAGAGAATCAGTGCTAAACAGATGCGTTAGACAGTGGGCTATGGCAGGGGACCCATGCACAGTGATCAGAAAGGCTGAGATTTTATTCCAGCTCATTCTTGAGGGATGGGAAGGGTTTTCATAGACTGAGAAGGAAAGAACACAGTAAAGCCCTAGATAGTTGCCAGGCCACTCTTCCTGATGGGTTTGCTAAGATGTAGGTCTTCTCCTGTCCTCAGGCTCTCCTGGCCCTCAGGCCTTTGGATCCCGACTGTGACACCACACTTAGAGCTGTCTGGGTGTTGGCATTAGGATGTTTGGAGAATGCAACAGATAGAAGAAGAGGGTTAGTTAAGTGGGTTAGACCACAGAAGGCCATGGGATTTGGCAATGGGGAGCCATTGAAGGTTATTGCATGGTGAGATCCCATGAAGTTTGTTTTCAAATACTCTCTCTGTTGAGAAAATGACACAGACCAGAAGTGGCTAAGAAGATCCCATGCAGAAATGGAACAGGGCACCATAGACAGGCACCTGGAACAGAAAAAGGACGTCAGTGAACAACTGATGACATCCAGACAGATATGAAAGTTAGTGACTAGTAAGGAATGTACCAGTGTCCACTCATTGGTTTGACAAATATCTCCTAGGATGTTAGCGATAGGGGGAGCTAGGAGATGGTATAAGAAAATTCTCTATGCAACATTTGCAAACTTTCTGCAAGTCTGAACCTCTTCTCAGAAAGAAAGCTTATTTAAATAAATTGAAAACAATTCCCTTGGCAGGCAGCATGGAGGGTGGAGTTGAATGGGGTATCCCCATGGTCATGGTCTTGAAGATCTGAGCTCTGCAGGTGGCACAGGACAGTGGGGGGCCAGGGCTGGACAGCTGGCTGGATGTGGGTACTGAGCTGGGGGCTTGGGTCAGAGGTGATAATCCAGCCCGAGCCCAGGGCCAGGCCTGGAGGAGGCCTGAGAAAGAGGGTAGGTTGTAGTCGACCGATCCGGGCAGTGGGGGCAAGGGGAGCCCCCAGCCCCCCACCACTCTGAGCATTGCACCACTCGGATCATGACGGCGTGTCCCGGGTACCCAGACTCTCTGCCCCACTGCTTCCCAAATGGCTGGTGGAAAAGGATCAGGTTTTTGTTTCTTGCTTTTAAAAATATACATCCAGTCCAGTGAAGATCAGTATTTTGATCTGCACCCTGTTCAAGGAAGCAAGTCCACGGATCATGTGCTTGGCTGTCAGGCAGTTTCAAAGTACTCTACACGTTTCCGAACGTTTCCCCTCCGTGTGCTATTTTTACTTCATCGGTGCAAGCACAGCTTGTGGGCCGTACTGTCCACTTTAACCCTCATGACCACCCAAGCATTAGGATCTATGATTCTCATTGTACAGATGAGAAAACTGAGACTCAAAGAGATTTATTGCCATCCAAGGTCACGCGGACTAGTAAATTGCAGTGAGCGGAGATTTCATCTGTCCCCACTCAGGTCATACAACCCCGTCAGGCAGCCCTGTGGCTTGACCTCTTCTCGTGCCCTTCAGATTGTTTTCAGTGCTCTTCATGCCTTTTCCCTGGAGGCTGAATCATGTGTTACTTTGACTCAAGAAAAGAAGGATGTAGTGGGGAGGGCCTTTGTCAGAGGTGACCTCACAGCCCACGTCCCCAGCGCGCAGCAGTGGGAGTATGCAAAGAGCTCAGAGCCAGTGGGGACCTTGCCAACATGGCCAGGAGCTCTGACCCTGACCCAGGCATCATTCCTAGGGCTCTGCTGCTAACACAGGCTGGGAAGGGAAGGAGGACGGTCCCATGGCATCCTGCCCAAAGACGATCCCCTTCATGACCCAAGTGGCACTTAGTAGCAGCTGCTAGCAACAACAGAACATTGGAGCACCTGCCAGGCAAAGGGCGAAGTGTGAAGACATTCATTTGTGTTTACTTTTGCTCTGTGGAAAGATCGAGAGGATGCAGTCTTGGGGTTTTTTTCTTTACTGTATCCAGTTCTTTCCCACTCTGAGACCGAGGCTGGGCTTTCCAGCTTCCTTTCCTTGGGGATATTTGCAGAGACAATAGAGAATGGATTTGGAACATTCTCCTTTCCAGGCTTCTGAGAAAGCCTGCGATCACAAGGAGCTGGTGCCAGAAAAGGGGGCAGGCAGTGCCCCTGGGGCAGGTGAGGTGTCAACAGACGGCCAGAGATTCCAAGTTCTCGGGAGAAGGGCTGGAAGCCAGAGGGTTTGTGGGCAGGGGAAGCTGAGGTCCAATTCCTGGGGCAGCGACTGATTTGTGGGCTTAGGGAGATTCATTCATTCATCAAATATTCACCAAAAACCTACCTGCGCGTGCACCTGTCTAGGTTCTGGGCACATACCCATCTAGGTTCTCGTGCAAATAAGACAGACTTCAGGAAAATAACAATACGCTCATTTAATAGAGTAGGAGTATCTCCTCCAGTCCCTGGCTGTGATCATCCTCCAGCTTCCGTTTGCTCATCCTGTCCCACAGCAGGACACTTGCTCAAAACTCTGATATTCTGTGGCTCTGTCTCAGCAAAGGATAGAAAGTGCACGTTCCTTGCCAGAGCACGCCAAGCCATTAGAATGGAATAAACTAGACCAGCGTGTGACCTTCGTTTGCACACACCCTTGGTACCCACCCCTCACCCTCCATATCTGGGCTCACTCAGCCCCAGCACATCCTTCCCATGTGTTTTGGGCTCTGGCAACACACAGCCCGTCCTTACAATTCACTTGCAAGTCTCTGCTCCCATTCTTATTCTGTTTCCTCTGCCCCAAGTGATGGTTGGCTTTCCCGTTCCTCATCATATTGAAATCTTACGAACCTAGCCTGAGACCCGGCTCCCATGTCACCTCCATTGGGAAGCCTTCTCTGATTTCCCTGGTCAGGATGAATGCTTACTACTCCCAGTGCCCAGCCAGCCCGACTCACAGTACTCATTATACCCTCCTCACTTTCCAGCCAACACTGTGTTTCTTCTGCACAGCACACTGCTCTCCGCCACTCTCCGGCTGGTCCAGGCAGCAGTGCGCTGACCACAGATGCTGTGCTCGAGCCTGCACAGGCCCCTTGTGCTTGTTATCGCCTGGATAATGGGTGTACAAAGGCTCACCGAGCACGCAGTTCAGACGCGAACAGGAGCACACAGGCTCCGAAGGGGATGGCCCGGGGAGAGCCTCAGGTTATGTGGTCCATTGAACTGGCTGGAGGAACATCCCTTGTTTTGAAGTTTAGGGGCTGAATTACTCATAGGTTCATGGGAAGCAAACAAACGAAAGGGGGAAAGCAATTACTGACTCTTAAAAAGGACAAAAGCTATTTGAAAGAAAACGTAATCATGGTACACTCTGTGTATTATTTATATAACGGTAATCATGTCAGTACTGAACAGAGATTTAAGTAAAAATGGTGATACAACTATATTGAAAGGACAAGAGTTTGGGAAATGTGTGTGTCTGTGACTGCATGCGTGAGTGTGAACCAACGTGGGTGTGTCAAAGCCAGGAGGCAGGACTAAGAGAGCTGAGTTGTCATTTTGTTAATAGCTAATGTCCACAATGGAATAATCAAGAATTGGAATTGTAAGTCTGTTATATAGAAATAGGAAGGGAAGGGTGCCTGGGTGGCTCAGTCATTAAGCGTCTGCCTTCGGCTCAGGTCATGATCCCAGGGTCCTGGGATCGAGCCGCCTCAGACTCCCTGTTCAGCAGGGCGTCTGCCTATCCCTCACCCACTCCCCCTGCTTGTGTTCGTTCTCTCTCTGTCTCTGTGTCAAATAAATAAATAAAAATCTTTTTTAAAAAAGTAGGAAGGTACAAGCACCCCAGAAAGTGTTCAAAATGGTTGCCCTATTTCCAAAATCAAGGTGCTGCTGTTTTTGCTATAAATTTGCTGGAACTATTTGACTATGTAAACCTAGGCACATACGTTACTCCGGTTAGAATTCAAATTTCAATTAAACAATTTAAATGCAGGTGAAAGACGAGTTGACTGCTACCACTCCCCCATACATCTGTCCCCATCACCCTGGGGAAATAGCGGTGGAGTGGGGGGGATGGGGGTAGGGGGGTGTCTGCAGAGAGCGAGCCCTCGGCCTTCAGCCCCCAGGGCCATGGGCT